TGTATTTTATTTTTTCAGTTCGGAACATGAACCGTCCGTTCCGGTTCACGATTTTAATAAACTCTAAATATCGAATTTCGATTCTAAATTGTAATTGGAATATTTCGGTTTGGTTGCTATAGTGTTTGTTTGGTTTGATCCAAATTATGGTCATAATTTGTTGGAGAAAAAAAATAAATTAAATATTTAGTTTAAGGATAAATATGTCCATTTAACATTTTAGGGGGAAAAACAGCCACTTCAATAATTTAGGGGGAAAAAATGCTATAGGTATATAACACAGGGGGAAAAAGTGCCATTTTCCCTTATTTTTATTTTCATTTTAATTTGATTATATTTAGCCTTTCAATTTTGTTAATATTGTAACATTTGGTTCTTGTTATGATTTCCATCAATTTTATGCAAACTTCTAAGATATATAATATAATAATTTCACAATTTGTGTATCTTGAAAATTTTTATCTATATGAAATTTAATCACATAAACCCCAAACCTCATATGATCATATCAAACCATCAAGAACAAATATGATAAATTATTTAGAGTGTGGAAGCTAGGGTATCCGGATTTGGGGTGATTGAAAGAATCTTGAATCAAGAGATTGTCCCAAACTTTTTTGTGCCACAAGTCTTATCGTTACAATATTACATAGTGAGTTATACTGGAGACTTGAATCCATTGTCAAATAACAAAGTTTAGCTAACCACAACGCTTACGTGCCTGTCATCCTCAACTGCGTGCAACGGAAAGCATATAGAGGTCAACAACGTAAAAGTCAATTTCTTAATGAAATGGTTTGTTAGTCACCATCGTTGATGACGATATGTCCTCTATATAATCCGTTGCACCTTTGGCAATATGATTGTAGTTGATAATTTTACAATATAGTTGTACTAATTGTACATTTACAATATCAAATTCACCGCACTACAAATAAGGATACAACAAAGAAATGTATTAAAGATGTGTACACAGACAACTCAATTGGTACTTAGGTACTAGATTGAGAGTGATGACTTATGGTTGAATTCCGCCAGCTTCAATATAAGAGTTTCACAAATATGGCAAGCTCATTAGGGGTATCATGCACTAATCTTCCCACTTAAAAGAGCATTAAGCCAAGTAGGTACTCCGCCTTTTGAGAGTGAAAACATATATTAAAGATGAGTTATTAATTTGTATATTTAGTTCAAAATAGAAGCTGGATCACTATATATATTTTGGGCCTTCACCAAACATATAGTCAGATTAGACTGACAAATTACTCTAGACCAATTGTCCAGGCCCAAATAGTTCACCCAAGCAAATTATGTTGTGGAATAGTGCCCACCTTGTCAAAACGGTTCATAATTATGAATATATATTTCAAAAATTATGAACATATAGTTATATAATTATGAACATATAGTTCTGTAATTATGAATATAGAGATTCAATAATTGTGAATATGAAGTTCAAAAATTATGAATATAACTTTATAATTATGAACATAGAGTTCAATAATTATGAACATAGAGTTCTGTAATTGTGAATATAGAGTTCAATAATTATGAATATGAAGTTCAAAAATTATAAATATATAACTTTATAATTATGAACATATAGTTCAATAATTATAAACATAAAACTGTGTCCACCTTACAGCATAACGACTGGTTCACCCAACAGCAACAACAATAAGTCATCAACAACAACAACAATAATAATATGTGTTGTTGTTAATCTAAAGTTCTATTGCCTCAGATTCTATGCTAACCTCATAAGTCTAGTTATGCTGCTCTACAATAAAAAAAGATGTTTCAGTCTTGAATTGCTTGCCATTTTCTTTCCATTGTCTAATAATATTAGCGGTGCAAGTTAGTCCTTGAATTATATGTGTGATCATCATTAACCTCTTGTTTTTTGTTTCACACACATAAGTGACTATTCCTTATACTCTCTTTTTGTATAGATTGAAAAGATTGAGGTTGATGCTTTTCTCTGTATTCTTCAAATAACTCAACCATTGCATTTCTAACTTTAACAGACAAGACAAAAGCTTTATCCTTCAATTGAATACATCTCTTTAAAACAAAAATCAACAAAAGTATACTTGTATCTAAGATCAAGTACACATGTAATATAAAGCAACATGTTCATTTTCTCCACATTCCCCCAAGACTTGTCATACTTTTCAACTATTCTTTTAGCCATTGCACTAAACTCACAATTAGTACTTTTCAACCAGTCACGTAAAGTATAATAAACATCGCAAACTTCATCATGATAAGCATTGACAGTGATATACAAAGAACCAGATATCTTCGCAGTAAGTATAGAAATGTTGCAAGAACATCCTTAATATCCTAACATTTTCCAATCTTCATGATTTGGAACACCATCACCAAATAATAGGTCATGTCTATAATTATGGTCAACTTCTTCAAATCTCTCAAATGCCCTTTCAAACTTTTGAGCTGAATCTAACATCAAGTAAGTGGAATTTCATCTAGTGATCACATCTAATCTCAACAAAGCTTTAGATTGGATCTTTTCCATCTCAACATATTCTTTAACTTTGAGCAATCTAGATGGTGATTGCCTCACATACCTTATAGCTCCCCCTAACTTTAGCATTTGAATCATTCATATCCTTCATCTCATCGGTGACAATAATGTTAATGATATGTGCAATGCATCTCATATGAAGATATTTCCCTTGTAGGATACTAATACCCAAATTATTCAACTTTCTTCTCAAGTGTCATACGACAACATCATTAGAACTAGCATTATATTATCAAGGGAAAATTGTAAAAAATGCCCATCTATAATATGTTAATTATCAATGTCACCCCTGAATTATGAGTGGCGTAAATGTGGTCCCTCAATTATCAAAACGGTGCACATATAGCCACTCCCGTAACGGACATGTGGTTCCCCGTTATTGTACGACACTGTTAAGTCAGAGTAAATATGTAATTTAGTTGTTTTTTCCCTCCCTCGATTCGAAGTACCAGCGATGGATAGCGGTGGGGAACCACAGGTCTATTACGGGAGGGGCTATATGTGCACCATTTTAATAATTGTGGGGCAACATTTACACCACTCATAATTCAGAGGTGACATTGATAATTGACATATTATAGAGAGACATTTTTTACAATTTTCACTATTATCAATTGTAATGGTGAAAACATGATCAATGTCCCAATCAGACAAACACTTTTCAATTGCTTTACCCACATTATATTATTATGACTAGCATTATGACTTGTAATTGAGCAAAAGTTAAATTATGCTTATATGCAATTTTCAATTTTCAATTTTCAATCATTATCAATAAAATGACATGTAATTTACCCTTTGCAATGATGTCCAAATATCCATGGTGAGTGACAGTCTAACAGAATGAGAATGCAACAAAGTATTCAAAATTTTCTTTTCAAACCCACTACTTTTAGTTGTTCCACCAGTTGTACTAGCATTAGTTGCTCGTGCTTTTGCCCTAATCCCTTTTTCCTTGCACAATTGAGTCTGAATCTGCTCATGATGTTTCTAACCTAGTAAAAGCAAAAATAAAAATTAAATCAGTTAAATACAGTTAGACTTGTTACTAAATTAATCCATCATCTCCATTTTTAACTAATTAATTGAATGGGTAAGCACCTGCACTAAGAGTGATTTTACCAAAATATTACCAAATACTAAGATATCATTATATACACGACCCAAGGTGTGTTAGTCTAAATTGGGTTGTGGAGAGCAAAACAGTAAGATATTCCTGTTTGATAATATTTTGGTAAAATCAGTCTTAGTCCCATTCATTTTAGATTTTGCCAAAAGCTCTCTTCTCTTAGTGCAGGATAGGTAAGAATCTCCAAAAATGGAGAAGATTGGGTTGGTAACCCTATTCTATATGAAATTTTGAAAACATAATATTACCCAATATTAGAGAACCAGAACACTTTCTGATGTCATTCCTCACTAAGAGTAGCTATATATAGAGAGTGAGAGAATTTATACTATGATATGAAGGAGTAGAAATCAACCGCCTCGTCGCAGGTCGCTTACTAAAAATAAGAAAAGTCATGAGAAGGATTAAAAGTGTCTAAAAAATAATAGTCTGAGATGTTAAATGACAAAAATGATAGTTTAAGATTAAATTTAGAATTGCCACCAATGACAAAGAGCCTCTGGTAGAATTAACTCATATTGATATGATATTTGGTGGAAACAAATGTTTGTGAATATTATCGAAACATTATTGAAAATTCTGTATAAGACAAAAGATGGAGTTAGTATCGCTAATGGTCATTTGAATATTATGACACTGCCCCCATGGTCCTCAACTATTAATTACAATGACTACATCACATGCTTAATTTATCAAATTTTAACTTTTCTTTGTTCTCCGTCAAATTTTAACACGGGTAAAAATATAATTCAATAATGTTCTTTTCTTTTTTTTTTTTTTTTTTTTTTCTAAATAAGGTTTAAAATATTCAAATTTTAGTAATTAATTACATAAATTGGTTTTCTAGTGAACAATAATCCAATCATCTATTTGTTTAATATGTGCATTTCTGAACTTGGAAGTGATTGATAAAATCGAACATTATGTTCTTGTTGGCTCAATGTTGGACAACATAATATTATTGTTAACATTGTCAGCTCAAGCTCCTCAATAATGCCAATAACCTTGTGATATAGTGGTACGAAATGCCTCTTCCAAATAGATATCATAAGTAGTATTAACTCTTTGTATTTCAATAGGTTGAAAAAGTAATTATAAACATATACTACATTACTACTGGAAATTCTGAAATTTCCGACCACCTGAAAGTAATCTTAAATCAAGTCGAAAGTCTTGTTCTGACCACTTTTAGTATCCAAAAAAATCCTTGTTGCTATTTCCGACCACTTTTTACTTTCAACTTGATTTAAGATCACTTTCAGGTGGTCGGAAATTCAATAATTTCCAGTAGTGCATTATACTTAAAAAATAGTTTGTCAATAATTGAAAGCAACCCCGTCATATTTTTTCATTAATATAATCAAGTTACACACGTGCGATTACATTTGTTTTCTTTTCCCCAAAGTACAACACCACATGTATATCAGCATATGCATACATATATATGATATATGGATGAACTGGAAATAGTTTTAATATTTCATAAATACTAATAATAAATCCTTCCTGTGAAGTAGTCTGCAAATTAAAGGGCTGCTTATTTATTTCTATTATATTGCTTCTCTACTTCACTTTTGTGGCGGCGCTCAAGCGTGAGGTGGTGCTGCACAAGTCAATGAATGAATTAGAATTTTCAAGTTTGAATAATATAATTACAACCTCTAAAAGACTTAATTGAATTAAATTTCTTTTATATATATACTAAATCTTGCTTGAAGTGACAGTATCTAATTGACCAACGAGGACTTTCTCGATCATTCAACAAAATAACATCATCACATACAATACATTTATTCAGACTTGAGAGAGGTATATGCCCTGTTTCGTAAATGACTGTTAGCTGATAGCTATTAGTTGATTGAGTTAATTAGAATGTATAACTAGTTGATAACATTAACTGATTGTAAAAAAAAATGTTTGGTAAATTAGCTGTTAGCTGATAACTGTTCGGTATAACTTATTTTTTTTAAAAGTTAATTGAAAAAGTTGTTTTGAGTAGCTTTTTGAATTTTAGCATTTTAGAATTAAAAAAATTAATAAATTAAATACTTGTATTGATTTTTTTTAACTAAGTCAAGAGTTAATAGTGGTCAAATATGTCAAAATTGATTTATAGGCTAACTATTTTACCAAACAGGGCAATAATAAAACTATGTGAGTTAATTCTATTTTTGGTCCTAAATTTATAAGTGACAATTCACTTTTAGTTTTTTTTTTTTTTTTAAAAAAAAAACATCTTCCTTTGATCCTAGTATTATTGTGTATAACCGGTTGTTTTTTTGTCCTCCAACAACAAAATAGTTTAAATTTTACAAAATACAATGACATTTAGGTCTTCAATTATAAAGTTTTAAAAAAAAAAATTTTAAAAATATAGCGGGCCGGGTTAACCCACATTATATAATAAAGATCAAAATATCCTTGTATTTAATGACATCGATTTTGTTAACGAATGACAAAAAATTATAATGCCACAATAATACTATGACTAATATGACCAAAGAGGAATGTTTTAAAAAGAAATAACTAAAAATGAATTGTCATTTATAAATTTATGACTAAAAATAAAATTAAGTAAAACTATTTATACTAAAAGCTTCTATATATTGGTACTAGTAATTCACCCGTGCGATGCACGGAAAAAAATTATGTTATTATAAATATAAATAAAAAATAGAAAAATTAAAATATTTTAAATTATTTAATATAATAATATTTTTGAGCTTCCATTGGTCAAGTATTTATTATTTTTATAGAATACAAAATTACAATTAAAATTAAAATTAATATTAAAATTATAATTTTGTATGGTTAATATAATCTCTAATTATGTGCATATTCAAATAAACTTATAGAGATAATTTACATAATTACATTGATTTATTCTTAATTGTATTTCATCTATATTATAATTTTCACAATACGAATAATAACTAAGATAATTACATTTGAAAAGCAAATTTCAAATTTTGTATGTGTAAGTTTAAACTCTAATTGAACATATTTTTTATATGATTATATAATATATATAGCTATTTTATTTTTCAAAAGTATATTTTTTATATAATTATATATTATATAGCTTATTTTTTAAATGTTGTGATTTTTTTTTTAATAATAAAGGATGTTGTGGCATTAATTATAACATTAATTATTTTCCAAACCATATAGCTTTATTATATAAAGGATGCATTATTATTATTATTATTATTATTAGTTCTTATATGATTGGTATGCATTTATTAATTGATGAGATATTAATTGTTGACATATATACCACCTTTTGGTGATCCATGACCTGGCACCTTGTAGGGTGGCGGCGGAGTTCCTACTAGATGAGTATACGGGCTTCCAATTGTTTTATCAACTTCAGCATGATTTTTTTTTTTTTTTTGATCATAGAAGAGGGGGAAACCCCAGAGACTAGAAAGAGAGGCCCTCAGTGAGACACTCGTCTGAGCGATGAAGCTCCCAGCCGATCTAAAGCCATCCGAACCTCAAACTCCCCCGGCGGAACTTCAAAGATGTGGAGGCCACCCTGAGTCGTCAACGCCCACTTCGCCAATTTGTCGGCGAGTTTGTTCTGTTCCCTGTAGATATGCAGGAAAACTACAGCTAAGAAGTTCTCCGCTTCTTTAATGCACCTCCGAACAATATTATTATTCCACTCCTGCCCGGTTTCCTTTCCCTTTAACGCCTCTACCAGCATCCTTGAGTCACATTCTATCATTATTCTCCTTGCACCATACTCCTTAGCCATGCGTAGGCCCTGCAGCACACCCCACGCCTCCGCCACTGCACTCGTACATCTTCCTATTCTATATGTGTAGCCTCTGCACCAGTTGCCATGAGTATCCCGAAGGACACCACCGCAGCTTGCCTGGCCATCACTCGTACAACTGCCGTCCGTATTCAGCTTTAGCCATCCCTCATCTGGTTTCTCCCATGACAGCCTTTCTTCACCTCCCCTGTTGTGTCTCTGCAAAGGCCAGTGTCTTCCTTCAAAAGCCGCCGCCGTCTCGCTGTCGCATCTTCGTAGCCAGTCCAGCTTCTGCTCCAGTGGCAGGAGGTTTCTATTAAAGACTGCTTCATTCCGCCATTTCCATAACCACCAAAGTCTGGTTCCAAACCGCTCGGGCCAACCCTCCTCAAAGCCTTGCTGGCGGTCCCCTTTCAAGTTCATCGTAAGCCAGCTATTCCAGTCGAGATTGCGCATAGACTCCTCTGTACGTCGTTGTAGCGATTGTCTCCAAATACGATCCACGTCATGGCATCGTCTAAAGAGATGATCCAAATCCTCACGCTGACCTGCACAATTGTAACAGTATTCGTTAGATGTGATATGTCTCCTCGTTCTTTCATAATTCGTTAGAACTCTCCCATGCTTAACTAGCCAGATAAACATCGAGATTCTTGCCGGAACCCTTAAAGACCAAATAAGGCCCCAGACTTTGTCAGCCTCCTGTCTAGCAGCATTGTCTGCCCACCCATACGCTGACTTGACCGAAAAGCACCCACGAGGGTCTGGGCTCCAACCCCATCCATCTGGAGTATTTTCTTCTGTTAAGCAAAAACTGGCAAGGCGCTCTAGCTCTTCAGTGGGAAGGTATCGCTGTATCTTCTCCCATTTCCAACCTCTAACTTTATCCCAGTATTCGTTCACTGTTGCATATAGTTCTGGGAGGCCGAGGGTGCCACGGAGCTTCTCATATAGAGGTTTTGCTGTGAGCCAAGAGTCCATCCAAAACCTCGTAGATTTCCCATTTCGGACGACATGCGTGAGTCCGCTTTCTAAAGTTTCTCGCTCAGCACTAATCCCTTTCCATGCGTTGGAGGTGCTTCTTCTACGAGTGGTAACCAGATGTGAGCCCGACCTGTGATGGTATTTCGTAATAAGCGTTTTCGCCCATAGTGTATTTGGTTCCGTCTTAAGTCTCCAACCCAGCTTCATCATACATGCCCTATTCATGGTATGTAGGTTTCTCAAACCCAAGCCCCCACGCGTTTTGTCCGTAGTGATTATGTCCCAGGCCACCAGACTCATCTTATTGTTCCCAGATTGTTCATCCCGGCCCCATATGAAACGCCTGGTCCTTTTTTCTATCTCCGAGCAGACACCCTTCGGGAGGGCAGCCGTTTGCATGGTATAGATCGGGATAGCGTTAAGCACAGATTTGGCCAAAGTGACTCGTCCGGCAAGAGAGAGAGTCTTTGCTTTCCAACCCTCCAATCTGGCCGAGATTCTATCGAGGAGGCCCGCATAAGTGTTGCAGGTGACCCTGCCATGTAAAGATGGTACACCGAGATACCGGCCCAGGTCTTTCGTTTCTACAATCCCCAACTTTCCAACTATATCCTGCGCAGCATCGGGGGCGGTATTTTCCGAAAAAAATACTTGTGATTTAGTGAGGCTGACTTTCTGGCCCGAAGCTTCACAGAAGGACTGTAGACATTCCTGGACTACTTCCACTTGCTCGCACGTCGCCTCAGTGAAAAGGACCATGTCATCTGCAAAACAGAGGTGAGATAGAATAGGCCCTTCTGGGGCCAGCTTAATACCTTTCCAAACCTTGCTGTTTACCTTAGACTCGATTAGGTGGCTGAGTCGTTCCATACACAGAACAAAGATGGCCGGAGACATTGCGTCACCCTGTCGGATGCCCCTAGTCGGCTTGAAGTTTTCCAACCTGTCTCCGTTCCAAATTAGCGATAGCCTGGACGAAGTAATACAAGTCATTATAGCATTAACCCAATTAGCAGTAAAACCTACCCGTTCCAGAGTGTCCTGTATGAAAGCCCAGGACAACCGATCATAGGCCTTTTCCAGGTCCAACTTAATAGTCATATAGGCCTTTTTCCCCCGGGCTTCGCGCATGGTATGAATTACCTCCTGGTACACAATCACATTATCCGAGATTTGTCGCCCCGGTACAAAGGAACTTTGGTACGGCCCTACAACCTGGGGTAGAATTGTCTTCAACCTGTTCGTAATAGTCTTGGTTATGATCTTGTAGCTCACATTGCAGAGGCTTATCGGTCTAAACTGCTTGATCGTCTCGGGTGCCTGCACTTTAGGGATCAGTGCAACGAGAGTGTCATTCACTCCTTCCGGGAGTCTTCCATTGCTGAGGGCGCTTCTGACTAGCTTGAAAATGCTGTCCCCTGTAACGTCCCACGTATGCTGGTAAAACCCCGCTGGTAGGCCATCCGGGCCCGGAGCCTTGAATGGCTTCATGTCGAAAACAGCTGCTTGGACTTCCTCCTTTACAACTTCTCTGTTAAACATCCTCCATGTTGTGTCGCCTAGTCGAGGGAAATTATCGCCTATGCCTGTAATATTTAAACTGTCAGTGGTCTCAGTGAAGAGATTTGAATAGAAAGCCCTGACGTGATCCCTCAGCTCGTTGCCCTCCGGCAGCCATACCCCGTTGTCATCCCTCAGCCCTAGGATTTTTGTGCGCGACTTACGCACTGTGGCCGCGGCATGATAAAATTTGGTGTTTCTGTCCCCCGACTTTATCCATTCTTCTCTGGACTTTTGGTACCATATCAGCTCTTCTTGATAGAGCGTCTCTTCTAGCTGGGATTGCAAGTTGCGCTCGAGTTTACGCAGACCACTATGTGATCGGCGAGCTAGGATTTTCTGGATTCCGCCAATTCTAGCCATCAAATTTCGCTTGCGCGTGTGAACATTTCCAAACACCTCCTTATTCCAACTGTTAAGTCCATCCGCCACCTTGCGTACATTGGCTGCCATGTTGTCTTCGGGACTCCAGAATTTTCCAACAACCTGTAGTAAGTCTTGGTGGGTAATCCAAGCAGCCTGAAAATGAAAGAAATTTACATTATTAGAACGCTGTCTCCCATGGAGTCGAATTAGCATAGGTGCATGATCCGAGGCAACACGGGGTAGGTGTTCCACCACCGCGTCAGGATAACGGCCACGCCATTCTAGGTTACACATCGCTCGGTCCAGACGTGCCCCCTTAACTTCATCCGTTGTTTCCTGTTTCACCCATGTTAATTTTGGACCCGAGAAGCCCATGTCAACCAGGCCTTCATCGTTGATCCAATTAACAAAGTCCGAACTTCGTTGGGCAGAGAAGGATACATAATTGCTTGTTTCATCTCTCGTGACAACGGAGTTAAAATCTCCGGCCACCATCCAGGGTCCATGTAGACCCCGTTTAGATTGAGACAAATCGCTCCAGAGCCGGCGTCTCAAATGATGGGCCGGGCTCGCATAGACCGGCGCAAACACCCAAGGCGGTTGCCCATTTTGCGTTACCTGTAGCAAAATGAACTGTGGGTGAGTAAATAAAATATCAATATGTAGTGGTTCCTTCCATAGGACCCAAATGCCCCCGCTAAAGCCCACAGCTTCCACTCGAACCCAGTCTGAGAACCCAAGCTTTGAACAGATCCTATTTGCTTGCATCCCGGAAACTTTCGGTTCAAAGAGACACAGGATACCTGGCTTATGGGACTGCAATAAAAATTTGAGGGCACGGTGGACCGCCCGTCCACTCGCCCCTTGGCAATTCCATGTCAAAATATCCATAAACATAAGGGGGGAAAACAAAAAAAAAAATAAACATAAAAATAAAAAAGGACCGAAATAAAAACAAACTTAGCGAAAAGCCAGAAAAACACGAGCAGAAAAAAAACCAAAACAGGAAAACCAAACCTCAAAGGCCTGTACCGGCCTCACCGCCCTCATGTGGTGGTTGGTCCCCGTCTACCTCCATCACCGCATCGCCTTCATTGTCGTAGCATATTGGTGGGTCCGCATGGTGCTCTTTTGTGTGTTGCCAGACCGGAGATGGGAGGTCAGCCACCTCGTCCCCGACCCATACTCTTGCGGAGTGAACAATTAAACCGCCTTGCTCACCTCTAACAACAACGTGTTCATCTGACTCCGCCGCCCTTCGGGAACCCCCTCCCTTAACACGCTGAGATCTGATGGGCATAACTTCCACATTTTCTCTCTCGCTGTGCGCTGCATGCGGTTCGTTTTGGATCTGCTTTTCAACCACCACCACGTTCGGTCTCCTTGAACCTGTTCTCTCGTTTGGCGCATTATTATTCTTCTGTCTAAGCTCAGCTTGGTTCCCCACGTTCTCCACCATCTCTTGCTCCACGTCATCAAGTCCCCCCTCTTCATTCAAAACTTCATCGCCTACTGCCAATGCCGCGAATCTGGAAGCTTGAACATGCTGAGATCGTCCAAACGTCGCCATCTGTCTCCCTGCGTCCATTCCACGATTGGGTTTCTCCTGTCGCCTTCCTCCATATCTGGTTTTACGTCTTGGCGCAATCATCCATGCACCAAAGGGTTCTTCTCCAATCGCAGTTCGCGTCGCCTCTGTGCCTT